GCTATTACAAACTAATAGCATGGCTTTTCGGGAGATTAGTGATTAAATGACCCCTTACCCTCGGCAGGTTTGCTTACGGGGCCATTTAATCACTAATCTCCCTCAAGCCATGCTATTACTTATAATAATCATACAGAGGGAAAAATTATTCAAATATGATTGCCTAATGAGGAGGGCATTTATTCGTAATTCAGGGCAAAATTACTTGTACCTGATTGGCTGAGACGCGAGCGCGGGAAGTTTCTTGTTTTAATTAAATAGCAATAAGAACAATGGCTTCTCGCTTTGTCGTCGCGGATAATGATGTTATTGAAGAATTAAAAACTTCTAGTGAAAACTTGAACACTGTATAGAAAAAGTACAAATTTATTGGTTGGAGTATTTAAGAGAGACATATGAGGTTCAAGAACATGGAGGCATACGAGGTTGAAGAACTTGACAAGCTAGTTCACAATTAATTAACTTACGAAAAAATTTTCCCCTGCATGATTAACAAGTAATCGCATAGTTCCTCGTAAAATTAAGGTTCAAGAGGAGATTTTTTACAAAGTCGCGTAATTTTTTCGAAAAGCGCTCAAAACTTAGCGACCTGCAGGTCTTCGCGAAAAAATGCTGCGCCGCCATCTTGGTTTTAAAAGTTTCTCAATATTTGCGAAGACAAACTGAACTTTTATACGGGATTTTTGGTTATCTCATCGGGCAAAATATTGCTAAACATAAAGAAGGATAACGTAGTAAGTGTAATATCATGTTTAATCGCTGTTATTTGCACTATTATTATGTAAATGTGCACATTTATTATATGGACAATGGTGTTTTATTAGAAACTAAAACACTCGTAGAACTCATGCATATATGAAGTTTTTTACGGACAAAATATCAGAAATCCGTAAATCGATCTTACGTGCCATAAAACTTGGCCACGCGCAATCATATTAATGTTATGAGCTGTACAATGAAAAGCAAAACATAAATCATAGTTAATAGAGATAAATCGAAAACGAAATCCTTTACATTTATGTCGAAGTACACATAAAATTAAGACATAGACTCGTACATTTAAAACACGAGGAAGTTGATTGAAATAAAACATGAGGAAGCGGAAATGAATATGCAAGAAGCGGAAGTGAATCATTGCGATATATGTGAACAGCTAGCCAGGGGCGGATCTAGGATTTTTCGTACGTTAGTCAAAAATTTCGTTGCTGAACATCGAAGGGTGGAGGGGGTTCTTTAACGGGGGGGGAGGGGTCGCAAAGCGAATTAATTTGTATCCAGTTTTACGAAAAAATGTTACGTGAAAAATGACTGTTTCGCCCAATTCAGGGCTCGTCAGCATGCCTAGGAAACACATAACTCCATATAGCGACGTAGTTTTATAAAACATTTTATTGATTGTTAATTCTCAGGAATAGAATTTCCACGTTTAAATCACTGCTTCTCGAGTTTTATTCATAGCAGAAACATGTGCCATGAATAAGTATTATAAAATAACATGTACATAACGCGTATTCTGATTGGTCGAAACCCGTGTTTGGATCAGGCCATCCAAACACGGAAGACTATCGTGTTGTTGTTATTTTATAAAACAATTACTTTATGGTTTCCGTGTTTGGATGGAATGATCCAAACACTTGGGAATGTTGCGAGGGTTAAGAAAAGCGGGCAAAATCACTCGCCTTCGGCTCGTGATTTCGCTCGCTTTTCTTAACCCTCGCAACATTCCCGCGTGTTTGGATCAGGCCATCCAAACACGGAAACCATAAAGTAATTGTATATTCACAATGGCAACATGATCCATTTTACTTTTATTGTATACATGTTGTAGAGATCGTATTACACAAAGCCATGCCACATTGTCATGTGTTTGTAGTTTTAATATACTAGACAACTAGGCATAAATAATACAGTATTATTTGAGTATCTGATCAATATATAAAGCCCACATTCCACAAGAGGCATAAACAAAGTATAAACAAACTGAAACTGCTTGTATTAAGCCGCAGTATTATGTAAATTGACCGAAATATTATGTAAATTTCATCTGTTACTACGTACAGACGCGCAATCACTACAGCCTACAACAGCTATGATGCTATATCAAGTTAAAATAGAATATGTTTACCTTAAGGCCGTACAAAACTTTTTCGTTTTCTCTCGAACGTACTTCGGGATCTAAGATTCCGCACCAAAATTTCGCGGTGCGACGAAGAAGCTTGTGTTGTTCACAGCGCTCAATAAGTCTTTAGAACGCTTCGGTTACATATCTTTAAAATATTGTTAAGATATTGTCGATCATCTTTCTCTAAAGCAGCCTTTGCGCTTTCGTAAATACCAACAGACATGGCTAGTATTAGTTTAGAACTTCTGATAAATTTTCCGATTGCCATAAAACGCACATGCTATAAAATCGGCGGGTACGCGTATAATAATAAGAGACGAAATTTACATAATATTTCAGTCAATTTTACATAAATACTGGTGCTTGATCAGAAAGATCCAGCAACGTCATAGACCTTTCCGTGCATACTATTAGCCTGAACGGTATGATCGATCAAAAAAATCCAGCTGACGGGAATTGAGGATTTTTTTGAATTAGCCAATCGGATAGCCTGTATTCGAGCCCCTGATCGCTTTAGCGATCAGAACTCCCCACAGATCGCGCAAAAATCGAGATAGCCAATCAGATGGCTGGAATCTGACTCAGAGCGTGCAAAACTCATGCGTAAGACCGCTTTTCTGCGCGTTCATGTTCGAAGGCCTTGCTACTGGATGATATCTTAGAACTGGACTGTTAAACTTTCAATACAATACACTGCGCGAAGTTTGATAACTGGACTGCTATTTTAATTTAATAACTTTCTGTCCAATTTTTACCTTAGTCGCGTGATCGCTCTGATTACCCCTAGATCCGCCCTTGCAGCTAGCTATTCTATTGTTTTGTATTTGTAATGTATGGCGTGTGTAAGACCGAGAATTTGGCTACCAAATACAGATTTTTTTAGGGAATTGAATAATTTTGTGATAAATGCCGAGCAAAATCGTACAGCTTGTGACTCGCCCGACTTTTATTGTGGAAGATTAGAAGAGTACCAACATACACTAAGCGTTTTAACAAGGAGGATTAATACGGAGTCTAGTGATTAATATTTCACGAACAAGGTTGTCGAGATTGTTGGCAGAGATGTTGCTGAATGCAGTTTCTCTTATTCTCTACCCAGTGCTACAAGCCCAATCTGATGCATACGCCGTCTAATAGTTCTTTCTGAAAACCTAAAATTCTTCCAATTAATTGCTCTTGCGTTTATACATGTGTGATGTGTCCTTGGTCTTCCCACTCTATCGTTGTATTCAGACAAAAGATACTTTGGTCATAAGACTCTTGCAGTAAATTATGTGCGCAAGTCCGATCAAAGATTTCAGACAGAGCTTCAAATTGATTTCTAAGAGTATTCACATAGGCGTACCGGGCGGGGAGGGGGGGGGG